AAATTAAACTAACATTAAAATAAGTGATAGTATTTTCTCCTTTCATTTCAAAGCTATAATTTAAGCTGACAATAAACCGATTTATTGAACTAATTCTGGACAATTTATTATTGCATAAATTTTAAATATAATTCAAAATTAAAGTTGGAACAAATCCTAATTTATAATTATACATTTAATGGACAAAAAGAAAAATTTTTTTTTTGAAAATGCAGTGTCATTTGTTTTTTAAAATGATGTAAAGTATTTTGAAAAAGAAAGGAAATTAAATTTTTTAACAAATAATTAAACTACCAGAATTTTATAACTAAATAATATTTATTGTAATAAGGAAGATATAAGATAATAAATTGATGAAAGTGTATCATAAAAATGTCGTCTATATTCTAGCTAAGAACATTCAGTGTTATCCTTTATTGGACCTTTTGCATCATCTTATCTATCGGAAATGGTCATCTTTGAAAGAATGGAATGGAATGGAAAGTAGATGTGACCAAAAGATGGAGCAATTTGATATGGTCAGTAGTAGTGAGTGGACTTTATGTTAGACGAAAGTTAAGGGATGAAAATAAAGATGAGAGATAGTATCAGGTAAAGATAGATAGACGGTCAATGGTCACCAATGGTCATTTAGTGTCCAAATAGCAGCAATAGCAGGTCACTAATGCTATATTGCTATTACTACCTTGCAACTGATACTCTATGTTATTAATTCTAAAATATTACATGCATGTTTAAATAATCATAAATATTCAGGTTGTAGTGAAAATGAATTATACTTCTATTGATAAAGAATAAAAATTAATTGATAAATGAATTAATTAAATGAATAAAAATATTGATTGGAGCACAGTACGAATTGAATTAGAAATTTGAACTTAAGATTTTCAAGAAGTTAACAAAAAAAAAAAGTGCAATAATGAAAGATTAAGCTTCACTTTTATTGATATAAACAATTTCAAAATACTCAGTTATTAACAGTGATAATAATAAATAAAATTAAATAAAATCTATTAACTTCATTAAATTGTAATAAAATTTCATAGTTTGAAAAAAGAAAAAAAAATTTTGAATATTATCTGAATAAAACAAAAGGGAAAGAAATTTTTTTTTCATCCACTGATAGGAATTAAAAGGATGAGATGACATTTAGATATGGTATATCACATAAATGATTTTACTCTCACAAACAGTTGTTAAATGTCAATGTCAGTTGTTCACATATTCATCATCGCATCAAACTGATAAAGGAAGAAAGAAAGAAAGAGAGAGAGAGAGAGAGAGAGAGAGAAAGGGTTAATAAAGAGAAAAAAATTAAGAACGATATGGTAATAATGATAAAACTTATCATTAAAGCAAAGGGAAAAAAATTGAAACAAAATTTCATATTTTTCATTTTGAAGTTAGAAAGCAAATTATGGAAAAAGAGGGAGAAAAATGAAAAAAAAAGGTGTTAATGCAAAAATCGAAGGCAAAGAAAAGAACAACAAACTGTAAAATCTAATAAGCATCATTAAAAAAAATGATTAAAATAAAATTTTCATAATTTCCTTTTATTAAAGATAACTCCAATAAAAAAAGTCAAAAATTTTTAGATGTAAGAAATTATATAGGATAAGAGAGTACAAATAAAATGAGATAAAATTAATACTAATTTTGCAACAGTAATTTATATTAGCTTTTCTTAAAACTATTCCTTAAAATAGCCATTTTGTTTCATTTCAAGTTGCAAATAAAGTTTCGGCAATATGAAATATATAATTAACATTTAAAAATTTGGAATGAAATTAATTCAAATTTATGATGGTAGTTTACTTTTGATTGGTAAATTATTAGTGATCGGAAAAAAATGCGATAGGTAAAAGGGGAGTGAGAAAAAAACAAAAGTATTAGAAAAACAAAAAAAAAAAGAAAACAAAAAAAAAATGATCAAAGAAAATTAGCAAGAACAGTTGTCGGTAAAATTTCAAAAAGCTTTCAAAGATACCGGCTTAATTGGTTGAGGTATAAACAAGTGCAGTTCTTTATTTACAACGTTATTGTTTATTCATTAGTGTCTTACAAATTTTCGATTTGCTGTTATCAGTAAATAATCACTTACTAACAATGATTAATCAACTATCCAATGTTAATTAGATTGTAAATATAAAAACATAATATTGTTTATTGGAAAAATTTAATGTTTAAAAATTGTGTCATTTTATTTGTAAAATCCATGTTCAATACATAATATATAATAAAATAATAAGCAAAAACAGTAAATTGTTAATGAATAGATCAACCAATAAAATTTCATAGACGCAAATTTAGTATTTCGTTATCCAAATATGATAACAAAAAACGGAAGAAGAAAAAAAAAGAAATACTCAAACAATAAATAGAAACTTTTTTATGATGATTTTATTACTCTTATGATGGTTCTATTACTAATTAATGCTTCCAATATATCTTGTCCAATTATAATTTGGGAAGTAAAAAAAAAGTTTTCTTTCAAAAATCATAATCAAAGATTGATTGATTATAAAATAATAAATAAACATAAGATGAAACTTATGAATGTATATATCAGTAATACAATATATTTGTTATTTTGACAATATTTCAAAAAACGTTAAAAACATTAAATAAAGAAGTTGGGAAATGAATAAATACCGAATGATTGAATAAGAAATAAATGAAGGATAAATTAAAAAAGGAGAAATTAGAATGAGAATAATTTTTGACACTTTCACATATATTGTTTAATAATATCATGTGTAGTTTTATAATTAAAATTTAATTTTATAACGAAGCAATTTAATTTTACATTCATAACATGTGATTAATTTAAGGATTGAAATAAAGCTCAAAGCAATCCATTCTAAGACTTTCAGATTTTGTCTCATTAAATTATTGATAGCAAAAGCATAAGTTTAGAAAATATTTTTGTTACAAAGTTCTTTGATAGAATCCAAGCACTTTTAGACTGTTTTAAATTTGGTTTTCAATATTTAAAAATTGTGATGCAACAAAAATAGCACAATTAATTTTGCTTATTATATGCATTAGTTATGCAGCAGATGTCATCCAATCATAATAGATAAAGTTGAATTCCATATTTATCATTTGGGACTTAAAACTTTTGAAAATTTTGAAATCAAAAAAATTGATTCGAAAAAAATCGAAAAAAAGCATTATTTTGCGATATTGATATTGAAGAACTCGAGAATATCATGCATTTTTTTGAAATTTATAAGTTATATTAAAATAAATGATTTTCAAAAAAAAAAAAAAAATGCGAAATTTAGCATTGGTCTTCTTACTTTAGATAAATAGAATAGACTGCATGGAAATGAATTATTGCAATGAATGACGAATGAAAAGATGATTAATTTTTTAAGCAAATTAAGAATAAACTTTATAAATTTTAGTTAAAATTAAAATGGTGAAAATTTTGGAACAATAATTGGTAGTGCATCATTAGATATACTTAGATTTTGGCATTGATGATGGAAATGCTTAGAGTGCTACTTAATTTAAATCTAATAATGACCGACGAAAGCTTTCCGAAATTCAAATTACAAGCCACTTCATTTCAATTGAAATAGTAATTGATTTACCCAAAAGATTTATTCACTGGGGAAGAGGGATATAAAGATTTAGTTTATTCAATGAAAAATAAAATGCATGTAGGAATATGAGAGTTTGCCCCGGAAAATTCTTGTTGACTGAACAATGAGACTGAATTATTAATTAAATATTGGGAAGTTATTTCTTCGTTTTTTTTTTTTTTTTTTGGAGAGAGGGAAAAATATTTTTTGTTTGTTGCATAATTTCCTGAAATTGAATGAACAAAATAAGTGACAGATGAAAAGTATAGAATGAAGAAATTTATTGCATGCATGAATGCAATAATTCTATTTGCATGCTATTTTCATGTTATTCAGTATTTATTATGTTACAATAATTTGAATAATTTTATTGGCTATGTGCAATTTGAAAAAAAAAGAGGGAAAAAAATAATTGAAAACTTAACAATTGAAGATTTAGCAATTGTGGAACAGAAATTGTGAACTATTCGTCTAGTTTGATTTTTTTTTTTCTTCTAATCACTTCTTGATTTTAACTATCTTTTTATTTATAACATATTTATTTCTTGCATTTGTTAAAAATACTTCCATTACTCATTCAATTCCATAATTATTTTATGTCATGCAATTATGAAAATAGTATAGTTTGCCATGTTGTGAGTAAATTTTCATTTTAATTAATCAGTAATTGTATATAAGTAATAACTGTATTTCAATAATTTAGAATTGATTTATTCCATTTACATCAATTATTTATTCATTGATTCATTTTTTTGAATTTACTTTTTTAAGTGTAAATTTTAAAGTAATTTTATTTACTATCGTATGTTTTGGAAATATTAACTTGTTTATTTTGAGATATATTTCGAAATGGAATATCAAGCAGCTTAATATTAATAGAAAAAAGCCAAATTATAACTAAATTTATTATTTTATATTTATCATTCCAGGTCATCAAATTATTAACAAATGAGTACCGTTTTATTAATGGCTTGTAAACGCTTTTTAAATGAATTATTTCTCTGAAATAATTCATTTACTATTTCAGCTTGTCATAGTCAAATCTATCATTTCAGATTTGCTTAATTCATTTAGAAATAATTCATTATCAAAATTATCTGTTTCCCTCTCTCCCTCTCTTCCTTCTTCTCCTTCGTCTCCTTCAGATTTTCTTATATTCCTCTTATCAACAAGGATAATTACAAAAAATAATCTTTAAATTGTTGCATTAAAAAAAAAAAAAAATTCTAAAATTTAAGAAAATTTTTTAGCCTTTTATTTTTAGTGATAAAAAAGCGCATCTGTGTTTCTAGTAATGAAAATGTACACTTTCCACATTTTTATTAGTTACTTTATTTATTATCCTTATTTGTGTTTTCGAAATTATATTAAATTATATCTAAATTTTATTATCTTAAATCTACCTTTACTTCAATTACGCATAATTCGACCACCACGTTCGTCTAACCCTTTCGATCTCTAAAAAATATTTTCAATTGATTGAAATACATACTTTTATAATCGTACTATATAACTTATTTATCGTTATACTCATTTGTTCTCTTATCATTGATAAATATTTATTTTTACAAAAAGTTAAATTAATTGAAAAAGTTTCGAGAAGAAAACTTATATTTATAAAAATTTAAAGTATCTGTAGTCAAATATAAACTTTTACCGCAATTGCAACAAAAAATGAAACAAATTATTAATTAGAAAAGAAAAAAGATGGAACAAATGAAAAGATGAAAAATTACTGAAAAAAAAAATGAAAAATGAAACAAATTACTAATTGGAAAAAAAAAATTTTTTTTACATATGAGAAGAAATGGTTATTCTGTTTTCTTGAATTATATCTGATATCTTTCAAGCGCATTTCTACGTTAACGTCAGCATAATCAACTTTTTCATTGTCCAGTAATATCTTTGTGAAATTTTCAATCATTGTTCCTACCGCCAGCTGTTGGAATCCTTGTTCAACATCTTAATTAGTTAGGTCAATTAATTATTTTTCACTTTTTCAACATGGAATATCAAATAAATATTAAAAAACGGGTTTTAAAAATTTAACATCCTATAAAATTTTATAATTTTTTTTTAAAAAATTTTCTTTGAAAAAAGAAAAAGAGACAAATTTTAATATTGCTAAAAAAATATTTGAGTACAAATTCTGTGCCAACCTTATTCATATTTGTGAATGTAAAAGAAAACAAACTTTGCCAGTTTTACGAAACACTTGCCAAGACGTAAATAAAATTGTTAAAGTTCCTATAGTTTAGAGAATAGCCTAACAATCTATAGGTAGAAAAATCTTTCATTTGGCCATGATCTATTGCGAAAAAAGTGCAAAGTTTTCAGTGTTACCTAAGAAGTAATTAAAAATTTCACTTAAAAATTAGTCATTAGTGCTAAATCTTCAAATATTTGGAATTATTTTAAGCCGAATTTAAAAGTTAATGAAGAAAGAATGAAAAGATCAAGTAACCTAGTTCATCTTCGCTAATTTCACCTTTTACGAGCTGTCGCATATCATTCATTGCTTTTCTCAAACATTTATTAAATCGATAATCAACATCTTCTAGGCTTAAACTACTTTGATTCATTCCTCTCTTGGATCTATGTCTATAAATTATTATTATTGTTATTATTATTTATTATTATTATTATTATTTATTATTGTTATTATTATTTATTATTATTATCATTTATTATTATTATTATTTATTATTATAATTACTATTATTTATGATTATTGCTAATGTTATTACATCATTACGATTATCGGATTTTTATTTTTTGGTAAATTCGAAAAAAACAAATAAGTGACAAAATCTTAGCTTTTTTTTTTTTTTTTTGGAAGTAATATTTGGAAAAAAAAACCGTGAAAACATCCTTTAGAATTTAATTGAAATAATGAAAAAATGAGGTTTTTCAAAAAAAAGAAGTTGAAACTTAAAAAAACTAATAAAAAACGGAAATTTTAAAAAAATGAAATTTTTTAAAAAACTAAAAAAGTGATCCGAAATGTTTGAAAAATTCCCTTTTTTTAAAATTATTGAAAAAATGAAACTTGTCATTGATTTTCAGATTTAAGGACGTACCAACCGTTACGAGAAGCACCTAAAAGCAGTAGTAAATTTTTCTGTAATTGTTTTACTTATATATTGAGACACAACGCAGAAATCCTTACCAGCGATCATTTGGTCGACTGCTGTTAAAAAAATTGATTTAAATCACTAAAAGATATTCGAAAGTATCAATTAGATGAAACGATATATTTCATGGACGTTCGATTCGAGAAAAGCTGAAAGGTTGGAAACACTTTTGTAATTTTCAGATCTTTTTTGTATTTTTTTTTTGTAAAACATTTCTATAACTTCAGGTATTTTAGAAAGTCAAAAAAAAAGGAAAGAAGAGTTCCCAATCTCAAACGTTGCGCTTCAGAATTATTCTAGAAACTGCACTACAATTAGCATAAAAATCAAGATTCACTGAAATTAGAATAACTTATTTACCCCATGAATGCAATGTTTTATGAACCAAACAATTTTAACATTATAATTAATAATTCTCGGTTGATTACTTCATTTGTGGCAGTAATTAAATTAGTGCACATACGGAGGTCTACCAGAGATGGCGAATTTCTATATAAACAAAATCCAAAGCTAAACTCGAATTTGTAGAAAAAATAATATTTCAATAAAATATTTATGATTTCAGAAATAAAGTCATATAAAATATTAACAAAACACGCACGCACATCTAAAAAATTTTACACATTAAGGAATTAAATCAAACAATGCCACTAGCTATATCCTACAGTAAGAATTACATGACTAATAGTACAAGCAACAAAAAATTTGATTATGCAAAGAAAAAAAAAACCAAAATTTAGACACAAATAAGCACAGTAAATACACAAAAACATATATTTCATGGCAGCGGCCAGACATCACCACTCACCGTTACAAGTATTTACTTACTGCTTAATTAATTTGGCATTCACATACTCATATTATTACATTATAGTTATTAAAAGCATACTACAGAGCAGAAAGCGTTTGAAAGCATCGCAAGAAAGAACTTTTAATTTCGAAATAAATATAAACTTATCTGAAAGAAATGCGGCGATATATAAAAAACATTATTTCTTAAAATTAAAATATGCAGATCGTTTTCTTTTTCTTAACAAAAAAAAAAAATCTATCTTTTCAGGAAAAACGAAAAACGTTATTGTTTCGTTCAAATTCAACCATTTATAAAAACATTCGCAATAATTATGATAAGCTCTTTCACGTTTTGCATATTTATTAGACAAAGTAACAATTATTAAATAAAAAAATTAAGATATCACCAAAATCAGAGAAATTCATAAAACTGCAAAATAATCAACTGGTACAGTCAAATTTTTCGAAAAAAATTTTTAGAAAAATTGGATAAGTTCGAAATTTTGATTTTAAAGCTATACGAGAGAAGAAACATTGATTTCTGTTCTTCACATAGTCTTCATATCATTCAGTGGCTTGGATTCACGTGTTGGATATGAAAGACCATCAGAATCAAGTGGTGAAGAAATGAACGGCATTAACAATGCTATAAACCAACGTCTACCCATAGCTTGACGTACGTTTTCCATAAATCCCAGATTATACGCATGTACATCCTCAAAAAGAGTTTTTGCTTAATTAAACAAAAGATTTCATAAAAATAAGCTATAAAATTCTAGTAATATATCCTCAGCAAAAAAAAATGTACTTACTTTCCATCGAAAAAAAAAAGACCTGCTGCTGTTAATCAGAGCATTTATACTGGCATTTCATCTTTATTAAAAAAAAAAAAAAAAAAAGAAATAAAACATTAAAGAGTGGAAGCACGTACCATAAGATATTCCACGCGTGTTTGCCCTCGGTAAAGGCAAAAAAGTTGAGCTGTAATCAGATAACATAGAAAGACGAATACAGTAAACGAAAAGATAAAGGTCATTACACATAAAAACTGAGAAAAACTGATGATGCGAAAGATTAGTGCCAAGTGAGGCACTATCAATTCCCACAGTTGTAATGGTGAAAAACCACCGAGTGATGTCCACATAAATGACCAATTCCACCTAAAGCATCCAATATAATTATCAACCGGCACCATAAGACATTTAAAGGGGATGCTAATGATGAAATGGAAAGGGATTCTGTTCTAAAACAAGTAATTCAGTCAATTCTAAATCCATCTCAGACTGAAAAACGCTTTGTCGGCAACTTTATCAGCAAATTATCAATTTTTATAAAAAACTGAGAAGAGATCTGAACTAAGTGTTTAAATTTGTGTTATGTTGGCATTTAAGATGAATGAAGATATTACATTAACACAGTAAGGGATATAATCCATAAACTGCAAATAGCACTAATGTAATAACGCTGATTAAAGTGTCCAACACATACGGCGACAAACGAACTATGATGATCTCGTCGAAATACACATCTGTCACAAACTAAAATGTAGAAATGAATCATATGAAAAACAATATGCACTCGAGCCAAAATAATAAAAACTTGAAAATTTTCGACCCAATTTTTCAATAGTATAATAAATTGTTACGATTTGCTGATTTTCCTTCAAATCAATTTATTTGATATATTAGGAAAATGGATACAAGCAATATACACAGTGTTACTATTCCATAAAGTATAATCATTTCGTATCAAAAAGAAAGAAAGAAAACAATATGTCTAGATTTTCTAACATACTCACATATTATATACCAGCTTTAACTATTGGAGAGTGACTAAAAGTTTGCACACATCGAATTGTACTGCTTCATAGTTAATTATACTAAAATTACCTGGGCAGTGATGCGATCGTGGAGGCTCATTTAGCTGACAGTTATAGCAAAATCGATAACCATGCTTTTGTACTGCTGGCAAATCTGAGCAATTACCATTTGGTCCAACAGATATAACTTTGTACACATTAGCAAATGCATTTAACCCAAACAGCATCAATATACCAACTCTTAAATTCCATCCCTTAAAAAATTGTAAAACTAAATATGATATAAGTAAAATCAAATTTTACTCGACATACTATAATCGAAAAAAAAAAAATCAGCATGAATTCCGCTTTGCCTCATTAACCACTTAATGATAGGTTTACTAATCACTTAGTGATAACTTTATTCAGCACTGAATAGCACGAAGTAAATGTCTCATAAGTATAAATCAATATTTTATGTTCAGCACGACAATATCGTAGTTAGCATCTCATTTGCTTATTTGATCTTTTCTAATAGAAGCTTTACCACGAAAGCACAAGTTTCATGTAAAACAAAAAATATTTTTCTTTTATTTAGAAATGTAAGTCATGCATATATACACGAAGATTAGATTAAATAAAGCTTTGAACTAAACAGGAATTATAAAATAAGGAAATTATACCTTCGACATTACTTCATGCTCAGTCGGCAATATCGCAAATATCTCGAACAGAAATCCAAGCGGTAAAAGTATGAATAAAATGAACATCGCTATCTGAAAGATATTACAAATACAACATTTTTAAAAGAAGCCTCGATAGTGAAAGAAATAAAGACTGTGAAGATCACTGATAGAACTGATCTTAGAAACCTAAAGTTTACTGAGAAATGATACAGGAATATATCTTGGTCGAGTAGTTTACACCATTATCTAAAGCACTATCCAAAGCAGTACAAGAGCTTATATACAAATGAGTTTATTTTTGGAAATCGATATGCAAGTAAGATGAAAACATTTTATTGTACATGCGGTGGAAAGAGACACAATAACTGAATAAAAACGTGAAAAAATACCCGATCTTGTGTTTCGGATGGTAGAATTTCTCTGAGTCGTCCGGTAAAGTCTTCAAACATATCCATATGATTGATAACACCATCACAATGAAGACGATTCTGTTTATATTGCATTTCTCACTAGCTCACACACAAGTAAATGCAATAATGAATCGATTAGGTGGTATTCAGTTCTTTCGTTAATCGGGCAACACTATAAAATTGAAGAAAACAATTTATAGTTGGAAATAATTAATTATTATTAATTTTCTACATGATATCCACATCCTTTAATCCGATTTCCATAATATGATCTTTCCTTCGGTAAATATATTCTAAAAATTAACCTTCAAATGATATAATAACATCATAAATGTAGCATCTCGGGAAAGCACATGAAAGTTTGATAGAATGCAGAACTTAATGAAAATAAAAGAAAACATTATTACGCAATAAACAAACAATGAAGCAATTTATCAGTTTAATTTACCATAACAACCTCAAATTCCACTAATAAAATCATAACCAAACGAAATATATTTCATTAACAAATGGATCAAATATTAAAGAATAGTGCTTGATAATCCTAAAAATTCACACTTATTTGCTAAGAACTTATATTTATTTAATGCATTCATCCCATTCAGTTAATCATCATATAGAACCATGAAAACAACCAATGTTATATAAAAATTCTCAAATCTTTTAATACTAATATATAATATCTCGCATCTCTCC